CCGCGGAATCCGCGTTCCTGCGCTGCCGGGGCTTGGCGCCGGCCCTGGACGGCCCAGGCCTCGTCGCCTCCCGGGGAACACCTCTGCCACCGGTTCGAAGGAGACGATGCGCAGAAGCCCGGCAGACCTAGCCTCGGCTCCTGGCCTCGCCGGCCCGGTTATTAGGCACTTTCTCCAGCCTTAGATTTCTGGCCAGACGTGGGAATAGAGTGTATAACGTCATCGCTGGGGTGTGCAGAGGGACGCATGAATAAAGCGCTGCGAACAGTACGGGAAGCCCGCAGTCAGTGCTTGCTTGACTTGGCTCCGTTGTTCTCTGGGGTCGTTTCCTCCTCTGTTGGATGGGAGTAACGTTGAACACATCTCCCTGGTGGGGTTGCCACGAGGATAAAATGAGAGAATGCGTATTAAATCCCGAGGATCTGCCTAGCGCATACTAAATAAAAGTCAGCTGACATTGACATTTAACACATGGATTGCTGGTCCCCCATATTGTGTTTGTGAAATCCTTGGTCTCTCTTGGGGGGAGCTAAAATGATATGTAGCCCTGGGGATGCAGACAAAAGGCAGAGAGCACAGAAGAAAGGAAGACCTAGACTTGGTCCACGTGAACACTAACTGTACTCGTGTCTCTAAGCGAGGCTTCTCTTAGCTGCAGTGGCAGTGGGAAGACAGCTGCTGAAAGCCCCAGGCCCGCTGTTTGGGCTGTAGGAGAGGTGTGTTAAGGTACACTATTAAGATAAATGATTGGAAGCTCAGACATAGATCTGCCCCTCCCAGGACCCCAGCCCCATCGTGAACCATTTGTTGAACACCCGTGGAACAGGCTCTTTGCTGGGACCTGATTGTACCAAGAAGAATGTCACATGACTCCCTTATCAAGAGTGTCGGAGTTGCTGCTCAATCCAGTCATAGTGTAGGTCTGTACAGGAAGGGGGTGCTGGCACAGAGGGAGCACAGGACTCTGTTGCACAGATCTGTGAGCCGGGAAGGGCCGTAAGATTAACGCAGCTGCTGGGCTCCAGATGCAAGGGCTGGCTAGAAGGAACAGGATTTGTGAAGAGACGGAGACTGGTTTTGCAGAGCTGTGGAGAGGATTAAGTGAGGCAGCGCTTAATGTTTGGTCCGGGAGAGACATTCAGTTAGTTTTCTTTTTGAAACCTGTTGGAGAAAGTCCAAGGCCCTGAGCCATTTTACAGTGCCCTTCTTGACTTGGTCTGTTGAAGGCAAGTTCTGGGGAGCCATTGTAGGTTTTTTTTTGCGGGGGGTAGGTGGGTACCGGGAATTGAACTCAGGACCGCATACTTGCCAGGCAGGCGCTGCCCCGCTGAGCTACATCTTTGGCCCCCACTGTAGGTTTTTATCAAGGGAGTGGCATGAGAAGATCCTTACGTTAGGCCTTTGTGATTGCCATCCTAGGGAATAAAGGGGTAAAGCTACAGGCAACTGGGCGGGGGGTGCCTTAAGAAGCTATAGCAGAAGCCCAGGTGAAAAAGTGCCTGAGTTAGGGTGTTGTGGGGATGGAGAGGGTAAATCCTGAGAAACGGCTCTAAGACCAAATGGACTGGACCCCGGCAATTTGGATTCTTGGTGAAGGATAAGGAAACAAGATTGTTTCAGCTGGATTCAAATTCTGGGATGGTGTCCTTGTTCCAGGCAGTTTGGAGACCAGAAAAGGTGAACTGAGGGGCAGGTTTCGAGATGGAGAGACATAGTTGAGTGGTAGCGCAGGGAATTCTGGATGGTTTCTGAGGACAGGCTTCTGGTCCTGTCTCTGCCACTGCCTGGTCTGTGTCTTTGGGCAGATAGATCACTAGGGAATCTGCCTCTGAGAGGATCCCTCTAGTCCTGACCCCACAGGGATCCTTGGGGGATGTTTATTTGTCCTTACTCATCCTGGGTGGCAGGGGTGGGCATTTCCTCACGTGGGGCCTAGTGGTGGTGTCCAGCGTGAGCAGGAATGTAGAGGAACTCCCTGGGGGGAATGACCCCAGGTGCCGGGACTTGAGGAGACATAAAAGAGGCCAAATGAGTCCTTAGAGTAGTGGGTAGGAAACACCAGGTAAGCTGAAATCAAGAGTAGGCAAAGTAAGAAAGTAGTACTAAGATTCTTTCTATCTTTTCTTGGGGAAGCAAGAGCTGAGGAGAATTGTAGAATTCCTGTGATTTGTGGTCCTTGGTGCCATAAAACAGGCACTGTCTGTGGTGGCTGAAGCAGCAGAAGCATCACAGTGGAAGAGCAGTGGATTTGGATCCATGTAGACCCAGATCTGCATCCTGGCTTAGTCTCTGTAGACTGAAAATGGATGATAATAACCCCTTTGCTGGATTATTGTGAAGATCTGTGATATTACATGTGTAGTACTGTGGTTTATGCACAATAGACGCCACTTACTTGGGACCTGCTATTAAGAAATAACTTAGCTCTATGTGACTGAGCACAAAGTTCTGTTTCATCTCCTGCCTTATTGAAAACAATTGAAGCTATTTCAGGAAGATGATACTTTATTCCAATTTTGAGGTTTCCAGAGGGCAAGAGGAGAGAGATCCCAGGGTCTCATTACAGATTTTAGCAACCACCGAGTGAGAGGAAATGCTTCCATACTATTAGAAGTGGTTTTAAACATGCCACAAATTCTTTGACTGGAGGAGGTGAGTTTTACCCTGACTGGGCTGAACTTAGTCCCCTGCCCCTGAGAAATCGAATCTGGCAGTAGAGTCGGCATGTGACTTCTGAGACGAGGTCCTGCAAGGTGTTGCGGCTTGTTGGCCCTGTCTTGGATCATGCCTGGGACCTGAGGCCTCCATGGCAGCGGGACACTCAGCACTGCTGCTGAGACCTGTGGCAGAGACAGGCCTGCTGCCTGAGCCACTGACCATTCATCTTGGGAGTGGACATCCTGTCCCCATCAGACCTACAGTCACGGAACGAGTGCAGCCTGCAGAGACCCAGGGTTGCACCCTCCCACCCTCCCACCCTCCCGCCTGTTTGTGGGAGATCATAAATGTTGTTTGTTTTTTTGTTGTTGTTGTTGTTTTTTTCCAGTACCGGGAACCGAACTCATGACCTTGCGCTTGCCAGGCAGGTGCTGTGCTGCTGAGCTAAATCCCCAGCCCCATAAATGTTGTTTTAAATGAGTAAATTTGCGGGGTAATTGGGTACCTGGCAACCACTCATGAATATACTGTAATCTGAAGTGTTCATGCTGTGTCAGACATTCTGTAACCCTCCTAACAATATTGTAGTCATTGACTTTGTTCCTTGTATCATCATAAAATGTCAGTATTAAGATTCTTTTCAGCTATTTTTTCTGTCTCATCTACTTTATATTTGTTCTATACCTTTTCTTTAATGTTGATATTTGTATATTTCACATTTATTAACAGGTGATTTTTTTGTCCCCCATCTCTGTGCTGCGTGGTATTGTAAGTTGTTTCTAGAGTAAAGTAAATGAGTTTGAAATTCTACTTTTTGTCTTCTGGAGGTTTTATTTTTTTATTTTTTTT